CGCGGTCAAATGTCATGGAATTCTACTCGTGCTGAATTAATAAATTTAACCTTTTTGATAGTTCAAATTATCGATTATGTAATCGATTGTGTTCCTCCGATTCAATTTGATAATCGATAGTAAAATATGTCCGATTTTACAACACTATGCAATGACTATATGCTACATCACTATACACACAGTATAATTACACACTCACATCAACATCCAAAGTGGCATTATAATCATTGAAGCCCCCATAAATGTCATCTTCGTCCTCGCCCGCTAAATGGACTTGTTCCATCATGTTCATGCGATTCATGTCAAGAAATTCTGTATAAGAGAAATGTCATTAGGTTTATGAATGAATGTTTTTCTCCTCTTCTAATGCATTTTATAAATACCCCTCCTTTTTAAAGCAATATGAGCTCAGACATGCATTTTTGAGAATTTTATTTTGCTGTTTAAATGTGATATTATGATTAATCTCTATGTAATCTAAACCCTTATGATCAATAAGACCAAAATGAAATTTTAAAATGTTTCAGAAGAAATATTTGTGTACAACCGAATATACAGTATTATATAAGAAATCATTATTGTACAGGACGACAATAATTCAATTTTGCTTTAATCAAAGCTTATAAAAAGTTCTTCATAGCAAATACGAACAACGGAAGTTAATAAATGTTCTATTTTACTGTCATTGAAATAGTTAATCACAAATATGCGACATTTTTTTTCTGATGTCAAACATGCAGCTATATTGCTTTAAAGGGTTTTTATCACGCATCAAAATTTCTTTAAAATTAAACACTAATATATTCTTGGAACATATAATTATCGTTTAATTATAAAATAATATTTTAAACTGTCGTATTTAAGCCATAATACGTCCGTAATGTAAGGTCTTCAGATTGAAAATCTCCACTAATTAGATAGGGGTCACGTGGTACTGAAACGTCATAGGTGTCAATGGGCAATTAGACCTCGTAAAGCGTATCGTAAGAAAACATCTACCGTATAGATACTTGCATGAAATAAAAAGAATACACCACTAGGTTGGAAGAAATTTTGATATTGAAAATAAAACTTTGGCTATGGATGCTATATGTATTATGGATGTTATATGTATTAACTTCTACAACAAAAAAATAAACAGAAAACATACCGTCAAAGTAGGACAGGGCATTGAAGACGAAGCCATTTATGACAACTCCTGGCTTCGACTGAATAGATCGAATTATTAACGTTTGACTTTTTAAATAATTATAAAAATGGTCGATATACGTTTTCTTTCTTTGTTATTTTAATAAATTATACATAAACAGATCTTGTGTATCTTCTATCTGTTCCAGCAATGAACATCATTTGATAGAAAGGGCACTTCGATCGTCAATGGCGTCGTGCGCCATTACGAACTTCACAAAACTTAGTACATGATGTGTGTGCCGGACTTTTAAAATGCCTATTGATAAATTATTTTTTTTTGAAAAATACTATTTCCATTAAATAGATATTTTATATAATACAGAAAAAATTGTGATCGTACATTAACGAATGCTCTGAATGGAAACATCCACGCACCGACCTAGTCCCTGGCAGGTAAAGAAAACTTCATAAAACCTTTCCTGTGCTGATTTTTCATCCAAACGCCACAAATTATATCTAATTATCTATCAATTAACCAATTATCATTTATTTAATTTCTAGTAGGGTTTACATACGAAGCCATTGAGCCGTTTTGTAAACACAATAAGTACTTCGCTTGACCAGGACTGACACCTATGACGTCATAGCAATGGCGCTCAACATCGGCGATCAAAATATGCATATTGAGAAATTTAAACTTTGAATCGCTGAAACACCGAAAATATTAATTTTCTAACAAAAAAAATTTGATGGAGGGTTTTAATAGCATATAAACTTTGTTATATCAAAACATCATGATGCATGATAAAAACCCTTTAAAAAGAAATATTCATTCAAATTCGTTCTTGTAAGAACTTCATTACGATTTTTTAGCAAGCAATCATAAACAGTCGTACAGTGAATTATTTTCTTAAATTTCAAGACAAATACGAAATTGGTTGATTATAAACTCTAAAAGAAACGATTCCAAACATTTTACAAACCATCAGTTCTCTCTGCTTGTTGGAATTTTTCGACTGCGCAAGAGAACTGCGCATTTACGGAAGTTTTTCTCTGGCAACTCTGACATCCGGTCTTATGATTTTGACAGAAAAAATAAATTTACCGTTCTAGAGATTAACAAATGGTATGTAGATCTAAACAGTTGCACAGTTAACAAGAAGCATCAAAGGGTCGACAAGAGAAGATGAACGTTTGCTTGCTCGGATTCTTTGATCTTTAAACCATTTGATCTTATGAAAATACATTAACTCGTACAATGTATAATTCACTTACTTAGGTGGTTGTAAATGTCAACAAATGGTGAGTATGGCTCTCATATCTTTGTAATTTTTTATGTCTTTAATTTTAGGGTAGACTGTTTTAGGAGATATGTTTCAATACAGAAAATGCCTTTTGATTGACAAAATCATAAATAGAAGATGAGCTGAGTAAATGAAGATTAACATCATTAAGGACAAAAGGTGCGAGATTCACTGTATATCCATATCTTTGCTGTGATTATTCTCAGTGCAGAGCTTTGCTATATAGTACTTTGATCTAGTTTTTTGCCTGTCATTTTTAGCCTAATTAATTTCTTGTGCTTCTTTTATTCAGTTTAACAGAGAAGTCTAATGGCAGACTGGGAGAAGACGCCTGAGGTTGTTTTGGGTAAAGTGTTTAACTGCCTGTCTCTAGTAGACAAAGTGAGTGTATACAATACCTGTTCCACCTGGCGAGAAGCCCTAGGACAGACCGGTGCATGGCACCGATTCCAGTACTCGGAAAGTCGTGTTTGGGATGAAATCTTTGAAATGGGTATCCCATCATCCTTAGAAGACTTGCAGCAGTATCAGGACTTCCATCGGAGTGTTTTGGAATGCGTCGAGAGATTCGGACGGTGCATGAGGAGGATCTATGTTGCCATCCAGAGTTCATCGTCATTTGAAGTCTACCAGAAAATAATTCAAAATTGTTGTAATGTTAGGAAATTTACTTTGATATGCATGTGTGTAGAGTTATCAGAAATGGAGCTTTTGAAGTGTACATTGCGGGAGTTCCTTCAGAGAAACAATGTGATAAGGGAATTAGAAATAGAAAATGTAGATAATTCAGGAACTCAAAATGCACCCCTGCCTATCGGTCTGAAACAATCGGGCTGTCTTCATAGTTTATGGATTGTGAATTCTTTCCGGAGCAGCTGTTTGAGTAATTTAATGTACCTTGTGAACCTGACAGAGCTAGCAATGATTCCCCACCAGTTAAACTTCAGTCTCCTAAAACACCTGGCTTCATTATCCCTGAGAGATCTCCATATCGTGGCCAACGCTCAAACCCGGGGCTTCTACAACGAGGCGATCAGTGACGCACAGTGGGGCGAAATCAGAAAACATGGACCCAAACTCCGAGTTCACTGTTTCTTAGCAACGTCAAACGAATGGACAGAAAAAGAAGTTTTCTTGAAGCCTAGCATGCCTCTGGCCTCCCTTGTGTATCGTAAAAATGTCTGGATTAAATATCTAGAATCAGTGTGCACACTTATGACATATCACTCTGATACATTGACGACTTTTGCGGACTTCAGCCTCTGTCAGCAGCCCTATAATTACCCTGTCCCTCAGAGTTATATAGACCGTGTGGACCGCCATATGATCAGACTGGCTCGGCTCTGTCCACGACTCCAGACGGTGACCATTAAGGAGACGTTGTCCAGCGCAGCTATCCTCCTTATGGTGTACCTAAATAAAAACCTGACTGACCTCCTCGTCCGTCGTGATATGATATTGTATGTTAACGACCTGCCAGAGGATTTAGAAACAGACTTTGTAATTAAACGTTTTATTGCTGATAATTATGAACAGGATAATTTTGAAAATGCTGTATCTTCATTATTAGGAACAGAATGGCATGCGCTAGAGGTGTCAGAATTTTATGAAATAATTGATTTTAGATATTCAAAATTTTCATAAAGCTGTTTTTATTAAGTTATATGTTAAATGGTTTTTGCATTTAAGAATTTAAGTGTTAATTTTTTGTCTTTTAAAATTTGGATAAACAAAAAGATATCGATGCTGTGTTTGCTTTTGAGAGTTTTTTTTTTTTTAAATATATGTTGTGTAAACTTTTAAGCCGTTGTTACAGCTGGTGAAAAGTCAGACTGGACCGTGACATGAACCCAGGGCCTCTGGCGTACCATGTCAGCACTTGAATCACTGAGCAATTGAAACTCGATATAATATATTGACTGACTTTTATGCACCCGTGACACCAAGTGACATCACAATTATTTGATGAAGGATTAAAAAGACACAGAAAGCTCTTCTTTCACAATTACCATCATGAATTTTCCATCAAAGAAAGAATTATTTTAAATTAGGATTGAATATAACTGGGTTCACAAATGTGTAAAATCAGTACTTATACTGGGTCTCAATAGCTAATTTGTAAGAACCCTTGCAGGGTATGCCAGAGGCTGGAGGGCATTAGGTTTAAGTCTAGTTAGAAATGTGATTTTTCACCACTTGTTAAATTTGGGGTCAGAGGAGGGGCCAAATTTATGCATGCAAATTATTTTTCAGTCTTTTAAAATGCCAATAAAGTTTTAAAGTTCTCCTAAATGACAACTGACCTCATGGATTTGGATTTTAAAGAATTGAGAGTGGAAAAATTGGTGATATTTCAATTTTTTTTAATTGTCAGGAAGGGGACTTTGAAAATTATATGTGGTCTACTTAAAAAAATTAATAATTATTAATAAACTGGGATTCTTAGATTAACAAGACTCAATCAAAGTTGTTGGAAATTTGTTCTAAGTCAATAAAACGAAGGGGAAGGCCGTTAACATAAACAAATAATGTACGAATATTCTACGGACGACTTGATGAAAACTTTGTTGACATTGACGCATATAATGAATCCACGTGCATTTGTTTATTTGAGTAAATCTCTTCTCACAGGTTCATTTCGGTGTAGAACAGAAAGATATGGATGCAGATGGTTTATTACTCATGTTAAACTTAAACAGGAGCGATATTTTCATCGCAATGACGCGTGTTATCAAAAGAAAGGGTCAAGAAACCAGGCGAATGACTACGTGTTTCCATTCAAAAGTGAAACAAGAAGAAAAGGCTTACTGATTTCAACCTACGGTTCTATTGCTTTTGGAATTTGCATCTTAGGAGTTATATTTTACAGTAAAGTAATAAAAACTGGCTTAAGGCGACGAGGTGGGTTTATTGACATCATAGATGAAAACTGCAGTAAATCTAACATGGTTTTATTCAATGATACAGTTTTACCAAACTTTGTGGAAAAGAAAATGAAAGGCATTTCAAATTTTGGAGTCCGAGAGAGTGACGTTTGGATTGTAGGTTTTCCGAGGTCAGGTGGGTATTGAGTCCAGTCATTGTTACCAGAACACTTAAAATTATCATACATGGTATATCTCAGATGTGTTATAACTGAAGGAGAATTTGATAAATAGATAAACAAGCATGTATATAAAGAAGGGCGTTAATCAGATGATGTAGTACAGTTTGAAAGAATCTGTTTTGATAGGTATGACTTGGGTGCAAGAAATCATATATTTGGTCCAGACGTTGGATTTTGAAGGAAGTCGTCAAATTGATTGTGATGAGAGAATACCATACCTGGAATTCCCAACCCCTTCTCTACAAGAGCTTTCTGAGAGGCCCTCACCCAGGATCTTAAAAACACACCTCCCTCTCAAATTGTTACCTGAGGAAATTAATTCCAAGCAACCAAAGGTAAAACAAATTTAACTAATTGATTTAATAAATTTATACAATAAAACTTCTTCAACTAATTTCTATAAACTTTATAAATGTCACAAGATTGTCCCCATGAGGCCATGGATCTTTAGAATATTGCTTTCTTGCTTGCTCCCAACCCAGATTTAAATATTAAAAGACATGGTAGTTGAATTGCACAATGTTAACTTTGCATTTAGGGAAAGAAATAAATCAAAAAAACTCCTAATTTATGTTCTTATCTGACAGATATATGAGGTTTCTAATACAAGCTTGATGACACCTATCTGTCACATCTGTGTTTTGTCCCCTGCTGGGTAAAACTCAGACCTGCTGTGCAGTTCTTTGTTTTCACTGGCTTCTCCACTAGTGACAATACCCAGCTGTCTGCACCTAATTAGGGTACTGATATTTGGTTGTTTATTACAAGGACTTCCGAATGTCTCCAACTCCTGACCAATCACAGGTCTTCTATATCTGTTACACAGTATAATAGTTGAGGATAACTGCACACTTGTCAATTTTGAAAATTATTTTTACAAGGGCAAGGCCAATTTGTACTTTCGTCCCGCCTGCCCTCCTCTCACCAATTTTTATATTTCTATTGTGAATTATTAGTTTAGTTAAGTTTAGTTTAGTTTGTTAGTTAGCTTTTGAGCATGGTTTTATTCCTTAATTTTCAATTTGCATACACACATTATGTAATTTTCATAATTTACATATGTGTTCAACTAAATAAAACCATAGATTCATTTCACCCAAGCCTGTCTTACATGTTTTTATTTCTTAATGCATCAGCTGGGCTATTTCTTATTTACATGAAGGAGAAATTAATACAAGCAATTAGACTTTGCCATTTTTGGGAGTTGAACTATGTTCAATCTCCCATGGTCATCATGTATTTAACATGCGCAGTAATTTGTGTTGATTATATAGAGCCGAAAGCGAGGCTACTGTGTCGCCCGATTTACTCCGATCATATTCAACAGAAAACATGCATAAACATCCGCCACAAATATTTCATGTCATTTTCTCCTGAATTGATCTAATTTCAGTGGCGGATCCAGAGGGGGGGGTTACGGGGGTTGCAACCCCCCCCCCCCCCCCCCCTTTGGATTTGAAAAAAAGAAAGAGAAATAAGACAGTTCCAATTTTTTGTTGTGTTTTTACTATAGAAAATGTAAGGTGAAAGGCTAATGTAATATATAAAGAAATTCGGTTGTAAAAACAAAATAAAACCCAATCCCTTTACAAAATAGGATTTTCAGTTTCGGAGATTTATTTTCCTTTCTTTTTCAAAAACTTTCTGGTAATGTATACAAGTACTTTTTCCCAGATTGATCAACGTCCCACTTTCAAAAACCATACTCCACCCTGTATCGATATTCTGTTGAGTTATTTAACTATATGTATGTGTACAACGTACGTTTTAACTGTTTTCGCCTTCAACCCCCCTTTTGACAAATACTTCAACCCCCCCTTTGAAAAATTTCTAGATCCGCGCCTGAATTTTCATATTGTAAGTAATGAAATGATAAGAAATCTTATTTTGAATATAAAATTTCGTTCAAAGTAAAACTAAATTATAAAGAAACTCAAAATTTTTTCGTAATGGAACTCTTTTTTAGTGTAGCGCCATACACTGAAAGAGATATGAACGACAACTCTACATACTGACGGCAAGCGTTAAATCTACTCTTCCCGATGGTCCCGGATTCTTAGCAATTTCTTTTTTACCGGTGTACAGAATTTATTCAAACTTTTCATGAAAATTTCTTGGTTTAAATGAATTCATTAATGCATAAACATTTCAGGAAACATGCGTATTTATTACTAAATAAGCAGCATCACCTGCCAAAAGCGGTTAATCTCTGTTATAAATGTTAAAACCAAAAACAGACACCGATGTTTTCGTAAAATCGTGATTAAAAACAATAAAATGAAGTATTTTTTTCAATAAAAGGAAAACCTCATTTACATACCAGATAATTTGTACGCACACAAACTCTCACATATACCACTTTTTTTATGTTTGGTCAATAAATATTTGTTTTTAACTTGGTTTTTCTCCACAATATTAAAAAAGATTAATTTCTGACGTACTCCATGTATAATGTTGGTGTAATTGAAATACATTTATATTCACAGAGAAGTTTTATATAACAAACCCGTTAGCTCTTAGAAGGATGCTGTGTTCAAATCAACATTGATATTATTCCTGCGAAACTGAAATTTTCATAACACATGGGTAAAGGTGCCAAGGAAAAATAATTACAAATTTAAAGACTGTGAGCAGTGAATTATATAAATGATCAACCGCCTCTAATATAAATATAATGAAAGTGTCCATGTTTTGCATTGGGAAACCCAAAATTTGTGTAGGATGAAAAAGTAATAGAAGGTGCACAACGGCAATATGTAATAAAGATTGTATGAAAATTTCGTTCAGCGGTGTAAGAGGAGTTGCTGATAAGAGATGGGTATACCTAAAGCGTAACAAACAGATGAATGGAAATCCCGATTAATAAATACTCTCCTGCTTTTCAAGCAGGGGGTATAAAAAAGGAGTAATGCAGGCAGGCAAGCATTATGGCCCATGCATTTGTTTTGCTATTCAATGTCTCTGAATGTCTTTCTCAAGATTGTTGCAACTCAAAAATTCTGAAACAGTTGCCTGTATTTGAAATAATAATATTGTTCACTCACTTAACCTCCCGATCAAAGGTTTTATTTTACACCATGTTCAACTCCCATAAGTGCTTTCAGTACTTTGATTCTCAAATAGGAGGGAGGTATCATTTTGTGAGTTTAATGCTCACTGTGTATTAGTACGTGTTTATTTATTTGGTTGATTTTTCAGATTGTTTATATTGCAAGAAACCCGAAGGACGTGGTGGTCTCCTATTTTTATCTGGTGACTTCATTACATGCTCTAACAAGATACCGCGGGAAGCTGTCAGACTTCGTGGACTCGTTCCTGAAGGATAGAGGTATGTTCTAAAGTTGTCAGTCACACTGTAGTTTGTGATTTTCTTTTCTTATAAAGTTAAAACTTGATGGTATTTATTGATTTATCTCTCTATTACTTGTGCTCTATGATTGTCCAATCACATGTATAAACAGCTGCTAAGATCAAAGATTTTCAAATCAATCGATAAATTAATGTTTTAGAAAGAAGAAATTGTCAGACTTAAGGTAATAGTGCAATTAATACACCCTGACATCACTATTTACACACTGATGCAGTTATCTTATTAAAATGATATCTTTGTTAACACGGTGGTGCAATTGACTATGACATCACTGTTTACATGTTGCTGCTGTTTATACTTGACCCTATGGGATTATTTTGTTTACAGTGTTATGTCTTTTTGCTTGTATGTATCTTGCTACCACACCATATATTAGCATTTGATTAGTTTGGAGAATAGAGTCATAGGGTGCAAATGTAATAAATAGATGCCCATCACATATTTTTGGGACAGGCTTTTCAAGTTAGATAATCCTGAAGTATATGATAACTAATCATGCATTGTTTGCAGTTCCTTACAGTCCTTGGTCCAGACATGTGTTGGATTTCTGGGAAATAAAAGATCAACCCAATGTTCTCTTCCTAACATATGAAGACCTGAAGATGGTATGTGAGTGTTCAGGATGCCTGGAATATTCTTCAGCTTATGTTAACTTTTATTTTTCATCTTGATTCAAAGAATTGTATGTATTATCATATATATCCAATTGCAAAGTTAATACCTATTTTTAAAAATCTTAAAATTCCTCAATGCAACCTTACTATGAAGTAATATTATTACGTTTTGGATGGAAATTACCCATAAATCACCAGTATTTTTAATGGTAGGACTAGAAGTTATTGAATACATAAGATATGACTTTCATGTTGTTATTTGTTAGCTCACCTGAGCTGAAAGCTCAAGTGAGCTTTTCTGATGACATTTTGTCCGGCGTCCGTCTGTCTGTCCATCTGTCTGTCTGTCCGTCTGTCTAGCTGTCTGTCTGTCCGTCTGTCTGTAAACTTTTCACATTTTCGACTTCTTCTCAAGAACCGCTGGGCCAATTTCAACCAAACTTGTTCAAATGAAGGGCCACGCCCTCATTCAAGGGGAGATAATTGGGAATTAATGAAAATTTGGTGGCATATTTAAAAAATCTTCTTCTCAAGAACCACTGTGCCAGGAAAGATGAAACTTATGGGGAAACATCCTCAGGTAGTGTAGATTCAAGTTTGTTCAAAACATGACCCCCGGGGGTAGGGCGGGGCCAAAATGGCTGACCAAAGTTTTACATAGAAATATATAGGAAAATTCTTTAAAAATCTTCTTCTCAAGAATGACAAAGCCATAATTCATCATATTTATATGGGAGCATGCTCAGGTAGTGTGGATTCAAGTTTGTTCAAATCATGACCCCCGGGGGTAGGGCGGGGCCAAAATGCCCGTCCAAAGTTTTACATAGAAATATATAGGAAAATTCTTTAAAAATCTTTTTCCAAGAATGACAAAGCCATAATTCATCATATTTATATGGAAGCATGCTCAGGTAGTGTGGATTCAAGTTTGTTCAAATCATGACCCCCGGGGGTAGGGCGGGGCCAAAATGCCCGTCCAAAGTTTTACATAGAAATATATAGGAAAATTCTTTAAAAATCTTCTTCTCAAGAATGACAAAGCCATAATTCATCATATTTATATGGAAGCATGTTCAGGTAGTTTAGATTCAAGTTTGTTCAAGTGATGACCCCCCGGGGGTAGGGCGGGGCCAAATTGGCCGACCAAAGTTTTACATAGAAATATATAGGAAAATTTTTTAAAAAATCTTTTTCTCAAGAATGACAAAGCCATAATTGATCATATTTATATGGAAGCATGCTCAGGTAGTGTGGATTCAAGTTTGTTCAAATCATGACCCCCAGGGGTAGGGCGGGGCCAAAATGGCTGACCAAAGTTTTACATAGAAGTATATAGGAAAATTCTTTAAAAATCTTCTTCTCTAAATGACAAAGTCATAATTGATCATATTTATATGGAAGCATGTTCAGGTAGTTTAGATTCAAGTTTGTTCAAATCATGACCCCCGGGGGTAGGGCGGGGCCAAAATGGCCAACCAAAGTTTTACATAGAAATATATAGGAAAATTCTTTAAAAATCTTCTTCTCAAGAATGACAAAGCCATAATTCATCACATTTATATGGAACCATGCTCAGACAGTGTACATTCAAGTTTGTTCAAATCATGACCCCCGGGGGGTAGGGCGGGGCCAAAATGGCCGACCAAAGTTTTACATAGAAATATATAGGAAAATTCTTTAAAAATCTTCTTCTCAAGAATGACAAAGCCATAATTCATCATATTTATATGGAAGCATGCTCAGGTAGTGTAGATTCAAGTTTTTTCAAATCGTGACCACTAGGGGTAGGGCGGGGCCAAAATGGCCGACCAAAGTTTTTAAAGATATATATAGGAAAATTCTTTAAAAATCATTTGCTAAAAAATAACAAATCCGATTGGTCATGGGACTACTTTTGGATTTAATCTTTACAATAAAAAGTCATTTTCTACTTTTTCCTACCCTTAGTGCTCAGGTGAGCGATGTGGCCCATGGGCCTCTTGTTTTTGTAGGACTTAGAGCGTAGCATTAAGAGAGTGGCCATATTCCTACAGCGAGACTTATCTAAGGAGGACATACAGAGGATCGCCAAGCACTGTAGCTTTGTGGAAATGAAGAAGAACCCTGCTGTTAATCACCAATGGCTCACTGATTTAAAATACAGAAATCCCACCGGTGCAGAGTTTCTCAGAGAAGGTGAGCTACACTAGAGGTTGAAATGCTTAGAGTAGGTGTACCAGTCTATTGGATCAAATTGTTCAAAGAAGGTGAGCTACACTTGTCTAGAGGTTGAAATTCGTAGAGAAGATGTGCCAGTCTATTTGACAAAATTGTTCAGAGAAGGTGAGTTGTCTTGGGGCAGAATTTTTCAGAGAAGTTGAGTATCCTAAGGAAAGAGCATCAGAGAGGTTAGCTGGTCTAGGGGCAAGAATTCTTCAGGCAGGTTGACCTTGTCTGTTGACAGAAATCCTCAGAGAAGGGGAGCTAGTCTTGGAGTGTAGAATTCCAAAGAAAAGAAGAGCTCATGTAGATGTGATCTTCCTCATGCCATTAAAAGGTTTTTAGTCTAGGAGGTAGAATTCCAAAGAGATATGAACTAGTCCAGTGGTAGAGTCCAGGGGCTCGTTTTACAAAAGGTCGGAAATCGCAAGTCTCAAGTCTTAAATTTTCCGATCTTACGACAAATCGTAGGACCGTTTTACGAAACGTGTCGTAATCGCAAGTCGTAACTCCTAAATCGTAACTTTCATCGCAAGTCGTAAAGGAACTCTCTAACGCGTAAAGGTAAAAATAACTTAGATACCGCGCCAACTAATGCGCGATGACGCGCAGACAATTTATATCCAAAATGTCTTTTTAAAAAAGTAAATTGGCAACAAGAAGAGATCTCTGTCCTTGTTTATTGCGTGGTTGATCCCATTCATAAAATAACTTTTGCTATTTTTTGGCTATTTTTTTTCAAGTTTGGGAGGAAGTTTTGGAGATATTTCATGCCTAATATTTACTTATTTATTTATTTTATTTGACCAAAAAAAATAACATGTGAAAAGGTTAACAAACATGTAGTCGCACAGATATTTTATATTAAATGCATCACGTATGAAGTTACAATTTTTTTTCTTGTCGATTTTACATCTACATGATTGTACAGGATTACGGATTAAGAATTTCGTAAGATTTACATGTACAAGAAATCACTTCGCAGTTGTTTATTAATAGGAATAGATAAGAAGAACTATGTATTTTTTCTCCTTAAGAATTAAAAGAAAAAAAAATGCACCGGCCCCTCCCATTGGAATATTTTTGTTATGAATTCTTCTATTAAACGGTACATTTTCAAATTGTAACGTTTTTGGGAGTCATTAACAAATTAAATTTGATAAGCAAAAAGACACTTCAGAAATTGTTATAATTTGAATTAATTCATGAAATTAATTTTAAAAATTCTTGAATTATTTTTTTCTTGGGGGAGGGGGGTGGGTGGGTTGAAAAAGATAATGTACATATTTTTTTAATATATAAAATTGATTTAAATAAAATCATACCGACCTATGTATATCTATATCTATGTAAATTATATATTATATTCTTTTTCTCCAAGACATTTTTTTTTTAAATTTTAAAATGAAAAATTCAGGCGATATTGTTGACAATATTCCTATATGTATATATTATACTAGCATAAGTTTGTAATTTATATGAAAGAAAATATTTTCAGGTTGGGAATTCTTTTTAACAGATTGTTAAAAGTACTAAAAAAATGAAATAAAATGTTTCATATGTTGACCGTGTGTACCTTTGTACATGTACTAAAACTGAACACCTGAGTGGTAAATATAAGAAAAGTCTCTGGGCTTAACCTCGGAGTGTAATATTTGACACGCACCTATCGCTTATAAATTGTTTGATCCGTGCCTTTGAGCGATACACACAAACTTATGACGACATAATCAGGAAATGACGTACGTTTTGTGGAGTGTAATGAATAAATGGACAATAAAATGCCTCGATAATAAAGGTATGTACTTGTATTTCTGCGGGAACAGCATGACTTTTTCTTGTTGGTCTTTCTAAATAAACCCGCACTATATCTATGCTGTCGTAGAGGTATTGCCTCGGCAATCGGTACCTCGATTAACTCGGCATCGGACAAGTAGACCATATATTTCTGTCCCGAAACACCCTCTCTAGCCTCTCTTTTTGTGCATTTTATCAACAACATCAAGAAAAAGAAAAGCAGCCATTATCAATGGTTTTTATTAACCATAGTAACAACGACTTATAGAACACCTTTAAGGCCTTCGAGACGAAACTTAGGACTTGCGACAGCCCCCGGGTGGTCGTAGACTTACGACCGAATTTCGTCGTAACTCGCAAGTCTCAAATCTTTGTAAAACGGTCGTATGTCGTAAGTTCGGTCGTACGACCAAGTCTACGACTTACGACCTTTTGTAAAACGGGCCCCAGAGTTCTTCAATGAAAATAAGCTAGTGTAAGAGTTGAATTCTTTGGAGAGGTTAATTAATCTTATGTAGGCTTAAAATACTGGAAAAAAAACCAGTTTGTCTAGAGGAAGAATTCTCTGGAAAAGGTAGACAGTGTAGGGTCAGAATTCCTGAGAGAAGGTGGTCTAGTCTTAAGGAAGACTTCTTCAGAAAAGATCAGCTTTTGTTGTAGAAGAATTCCTTAGAGAGAATGAGGTAGTCTATGGTAGAATTCCTCAGAAAAGTGAGTTACACTTGTTGCAGAATTCGTCAGAGATTTAAATTTCTGTAGAGACAGAATTTTTCAGAGAGGATGTGATAATCTAGAGGTAGATTTTTTCTGTCTTAGAAGGTGGGCTAGTCTAGGTGAAGAATTTATCAGAAAAGTTAAGCTGGAGGCAGAATTTTCCAGAGAGAGAAAGTCTAGGACAAAATTTGCAAATAATGTGAGGTAGATAAGGGGTAGAATTACTCAGATGGAGTTGGTATGCTAGTGTAAGGGCAGAGTTCCTGAGCCAAAATGAGGTATTCTTGGGGCAGAATTATTCAAAGAAAGTGAGGTACCATAGTTTTCAAATAATATGAGCTACTCCATCTTAGTCTTTTCTTTTAAAACGACTCAAGGACTAAAGGATTAAAACTTGACAGCGCCCTTGTTATCTGATTGATAACTTTTAATAGTGTGGTGCAACATGCTGAAATGGGAAGTAATTTGGATTGAATTATCTTTTGTCATGTGTATATATCTATAATAGATAAAATTTTCAGATATTTTCTCAAAAATTGAAATTGTTTTCAGGAAGAATTGGTGACTGGCAAAACTATTTATCAAAAGAACAGGATGAGAGATTGAATGTGAAGATAGCCCTCAAACTTCGACAGACAGGTCTTTTCTTCCAATACACTGACCCTGACCCCAGACCTATGACATCTGATCCCTGACCCCTGTAGACTGTGTAGGATCTAGGAATCCTGAGTTATATATAATTACGGTTTAGAGTACATGTACCAGTAACCAGTGGAAATACATATTGGAAATAATTTAATTTCTTTCACTTGTGTGTGTGTACATTTCATTTGAGACAAAGAAAATTGCCTTGTTCCTGTTTTATGGATGATTTGATGATTATGATACAGCACTGACAAGAAAAATTGAAAGAGTTCATATGTTGGTCATTAAAGTGATGCTCTTGTATTGGTGCTGGATTTGTAAATTTGTGCATGGTCAAATTATTAGTATCATTGCCTCACTTCTCAGGGATATTGCACAGCTTTTGAAAGTGAAGGGGCAAGCCAGAGATGTCTTGGTTATGCCTGAATCACATTGCCGGCTGGTGCTGTAGACCCGTGGTAATCCGTGGTGTGAGCGATACCCCAACATCGGTTCGTTATCGGCGTATTAGTCCTTCAAGTATCAGTCACATTATCCAGCGATGGGGTATACGATGGGTAACCAATGAGTTTTTTGATAAAAATGGTGTGGTTGCCGGCCGGACTTACAAATACCCAGCGATGCATTGCTAATCATAAAACCATGTTTCAGGATAATCGGCTGATGTATATTACATCGTTCATAAATTGGTTAATGTCGTTTGTATGTCGGCCAACTATGGGCCAATGCTTGGTTGAACATCGACCGATGATAGGCCTACCACTCATCCCCAAGATGACCTCAGATTCAATGGACACTTGACGATGCTCGGCCATACATCGGCCAATCCTTGAAAGATGTGTTAATGATGGGTTGCTGATGAGGAGCAATGTGGGGCATCGGTAGAGACATCGCTGATTTTTAACCACAACTTATTTTCTACTGATGATTCCCACTGATTCGCCAAATGGCCTCAGTCACCGTCCGATTACTATAGGTGTCCAGCTGGCAACCACACCATTTTTATCAAAAAATGCATCAGTTTCTCATCGTATACCCCGCCCCGGTATAATGTCACTGATACTTTAAAGGCCATGAGCAGATCCATTCCAAATTAATTATTATTCCTATAATGTATGTATGAACATCATGTGTTTTTTGATAAAAATGGCATGGTTGCCGGCCAGACACCTATAGTTATCGGACAATGACTGAAGCCATTTGGCGAATCGATGGGGGTCATCGGTAGAAAATAACTTGTTGTTAAAAATCAGCGAAGTCTCCACCGCTGCCTTACATCGCTCCTCATCAGCGACCCATCATCAACACATCTTTCATTGATTGGCCGATATATGGCCGAATATTTTCAATTGTCCGTTGAATCTGAGGTCATCAGGGGGTTGAGTGGTGGGCAACAGACATCGACCGATCATCGGTCGGTGTTCGACCAAACATTGGCCCATAGTCGACCGATGTACGAACGATGTTCACCAATGTATAAACGATGTAATATACATCGGCCGCGATTACCGGTACCCTGTAACATGGTTTTATGATTAACAATGCATCGCTTGGCCTTTGTAATTCCATAAATTTGTAACCACGCCATTTTTATAAAAAAACTCATTGGTTGCCTATCGTATACACCATCACTGGAAAATGTGACTGATACTTTAAGGACTACTAGGCCGATTATGAACCAATGTTGGGGCATCGCTCACACCACGGATCACCACCAGCCGGAAAATGTGACTTAATAGGCATAAGTATCAGTCATATTATCCAGTGATTGGGTACAGTCCCTGAAACGTTCTACTTTCCCATTTTTCCGTTCGCTCACCGTTCGTTCACCGTTCGTTCAGCGTTCGTTCTCCGTTCGTTCAGCGTGCGTTCACCGTTCGCTCTTCGTTCACAGTATTGCGTTCACCGTTCACCGTGCGCTCGCGTTCACCGTTCACAAAACGTTCACCGTTCGCTCTTCGTTCCGTTTACTTTGCGTTCACCTTGCGTTCACCGTTCACTTATCGTTCAGTCTTCATTGTCATTCGGAACTCCGAAGTGAACGGACTTATCTTTTTGATGGTAAGGATTTACATGTTTTTTAATTAAATAACTTAGATATCGTGTTTGAAGAATAATTATTTCATTTCAAAAATTATCTACCGGTAGGTTATTTATATTTCTATTATTATAACTCAGCTGTTACTTATTTCATGAAATTTCCCTGGAAAATAATACATTAAGTACCTACATGTGTGTAGAACGATGCTAAAATATTAAATTTAAAAAAGGGCAATGTACAAAAGCTTCACGCACGGCATCAATTTGTTGTAATTTTAAAGAGGACAAATGGATGTATAATAATTAATCTAAGTCTTTTACAGGACAAGAATACATAAAAAGAATTATTTCTACAGTAACACGTATTTTAACGACATGTAGGTTTGAGAATTATGAACGGTACTGCAAATATTCAGTTAATTAAATATCTTTAGAGCTAATTCAATTGATGGTGTGGTTTTAAATTTTAGAAAAGACCAAAATGTTTAAAATAGTCTATTATTAGAGAAGGAAAATTCCTTCCTTCACCGTACCTAAACACATGCTTTAAATATATGTTTGGCATTCAGTATAATTAGGAACCCCCCCCCCCCTACCGGTGCCTTTTCTCCCGAAATAAAATTCTTATTGAGTTTTTTCAGTATATTTTAATTAATATTTAATTTCTATTGTAACACAAGAAAATCAGTCTTAAAACCAACATCAAACAGTCATTAAACAATAGTGTTTTAGAATAAACTTGTGCCGACAGTAGTATTTAGTATTTTAAACTGGCAGGGAATATGTTTCAAATTCAATTTAAAACTTAATCCTTCGAAGAATATATTCCAATTATTTTTTTCTGCAGGAATGCCAAAATCAGATCTAGAAATGATAGGGAAAAATATTAAAACTTCTTGGAATACTGAGTGACTCTTGGTCGGTGAAACGCGATTTCCACACCTCCACTGTGTCAAATTATTTTGATTGACAGGACAAGCACGCTACTAGCACGGACTTCCTGTGAACTGTATGAACTTGATGATGGAAAATAAAAGCCAATGATTATGGTCAATTGGATTTGTTAATCTAAAAAAATGATTTGCTTTACTGCTTGTAATATTTAGGAAAAATAATAAGAATTTTTATTTGATACAAATGTACTACAGATATCTGAGAATCGAGGGGGTTATCTCTCTCTCTCTCTCTCTCTCTCTCTCTCTCTCTCGTACATTTCTCTGTTCAATAAAAACTATGACAGCAAATTACTTATTTAGTTTTGAAAATTTAATCTATTACAAATAATTTGAATGCCTCTTTCCAACATCTTGACCGGGTATAATCACGGCCGGGAAATGTCTACAGATACATGAAGAAGTTAGCTAAAATAATCGTCATAAAAGAATACAAAAGGCACATAAATATAGAATATTCTGCAGTAGAATTTAAATAAAACGAGAGATTTATGCAGTACGATAACAGTCAATGTCAACAGATAATTGTAAATTTAAAAGAAAATCCGTTTTTTTTTTTACTCAGAATCGCTTTGCCACGGAAATACATACATGTACAAGTATGATTTATTTTTTCAACCGCGTACAATGTAATCACCGGTAATTCATTCTATAAGTAGTAGTTTTATCTTCAGAAGTCCACATTATTTTATTAGTGAAAAGAATAAGCATATTTACTATATAAATAGATTAATTTTATATTTAATCTAATCGCGTTCGGAAACAAATACACATGTTTTACGGCAATAAAATCGTGTTACAAAAAAATCGATTAAAACATAGGTACATATATGTACAGAACAAAAATGTTTTTAATATTTATTCATTTCTTAATTAATTAATTTATTAATTAATTTATTTATTTATTTATTTATTTATTGTTTATTTATATCTAAGCACCTGAAATTAGAATTATAGAATAATAAAATAATCTCAATGCAAGGAAAAGATCGGAGGCATTCTGAATAAATCGTTCATCTTGCGTTCACCGTTCGTTCACCGTTCACTTTGCACTCGCGTTCGCGCTCCGTTCGCGTTCTGCGTTCACTCACCGTTCACCGTTCACACATCGTTCACCAAGTTGCGTTCAGCGTTCGCACATCGTTCACCCACCGTTCGCTCTGCGTTCGCTCACCGTTCGTTCACCGTTCGTTCAGCGTTCGTTCACCGTTCAGGTGGGAAAGTAGAACGTTTCAGGGACTGTATACGATAAGAAACTGACTCAATTTTTGATAAAAATGGTGTGGTTGCCGGCCGGACACCTAAAGTAATCGGACGGTGACTGAGGCTATTTCAACTGGCGAATGGGTAGGGGTCATCGGTAGAAAATAAGTTCTAGTTAAAAAATCAGTGATGTCTCCATCACTGCCCCACATCGCTCCTCATTGGCAACCCATCATGAACACATCTTTCAAGGATTGGCCGTTGTATGGCCGAGCATCGTCAAGTGTCCATGAAATCTGAGGTCATCGGGGAGTTGTGTGGTGGGCAACAAACTCGATGTTCGACCAAACATTGGCCCATAGTCGGCCGACGTACGAACAATGTTAACCAATGTATGATCGATGTAATATACGTCAGCAGATTTCCCAGGAACATGGTTTTATGATTAGCAATGCATTGCTGAGTCTTAAACTCTTTGTATTCCCTCCTGAAAGGAGTAAAGTACATCCCTCCTCCTTACATTTGAAAGTATAAAAAAAAATATGAGACACAGATATAAGGTTTTAATTATTCTATAGAAAATTAAGGAGTGGGTCAAATTTCTATGGGGGTCATTTATTAATGTGTTTGTAGTCGTAGAATTACTGGTCTGGAATGGTTTTCTACGGTCGAAAAATGCGCCACTTGTCGCAGAATATTGAACTTCAGTAATTTTTCTATGTAGAAAAATGACACCATGGTCAATATTCTACGAGGTCACTTTTCGTCTTTACACCGCGGCCGGCAACCACGCCATTTTTATTAAAAGAAAATGTATCGGTTGCCCATCGTATACATGGTATACCCCATCGCTGGATAATGTGACTGATACTTTCAAGACTACTAGGCCGATAACGAACCGATGTTGGGGCATCGCTCACACCACGGAATATGCCTAGGTCACATTTCCCGGCCGGTAGCCGTAGACCGGTGGTAATCGGTGGTAATCCGTGGTGTTAACGATGCCTTAACATCGGTCCACATCGGCCTAGTAGTCCTTAAAGAATCAGTCACATTATCCAGCGATGGGTATACGATGGGCAACCAATGCGTTTTATGATAAAAATG